CTTTTCTGAAGTCCAGGGTCCGTATTCTGCTGCTCTCCTTTCTTCCTTGTGTAAGGATCCTGAAACTCGACCATCTCATGGTCACTGCCTCCCAGGTTCCCATCCACTTTTGCTTCCCCTACTAATTCTTCCCTGTTTGTGAGCAGCAGGTCAAGAAAAGCTCTGCCCCTAGTTTGTTCCTCCAGCACTTGCACCAGGAAATTGTCCCCTACACTTTCCAAAAACTTCCTGGATTGTCTGTGCACCGCTGTATTGCTCTCCCAGCAGATATCAGGGTGATTAAAGTCTCCCATGAGAACCAGGGGCTGCGATCTAGCAACTTCTGTTAGTTGCTGGAAGAAAGCCTCGTCCACTTCATCCCCCTGGTCTGGTGGTCTATAGCAGACTCCGGCCACGACATCACCTTTGTTGCTCACACTTCTCAACTTTATCCAAAGACTCTTGGGTTTTTCTGCAGTTTCATACCAGAGCTCTGAGCAGTCATACTCCTTTCTTACATACAATGCAACTCCCCCACCTTTTCTGCCCTGCCTGTCCTTCCTGAACAGTTTATATCCATCCATGACAGTACTCCAGTCATGTGAGTTATCCCACCAAGTCTCTGTTATTCCAATCGCATCATAGTTCCCTGACTGTGCCAGGACTTCCAGTTCTCCCTGCTTGTTTCCCAGGCTTCTTGCATTTGTGTATAGGCACTTAAGATAACTCTTCGATCATCCCGCTTTCTCAGTCTGAGACAGGAGTCCTCCCATCTTGTGCTCTCCTGCTCGTGCTTCCTCCCAGGATCCCATTTCCCCACTTACCTCAGGGCTTTGGTCTCCTTCCCCCGGTGAACCTAGTTTAAAGCCCTCCTCACTAGGTTAGCTAGCCTGCTTGCGAAGATGCTCTTCCCTCTCTTCGTTAGGTGGAACCCGTCTCTGCCTAGCACTCCTCCTTCTTGGAACACCATCCCATGGTTGAAGAATCCAAAGCCTTCTCTCTGACACCACCTGCGTAGCCATTCGTTGACTTCCACAATTCGACGGTCTCTACCCAGGCCTTTTCCTTGCACAGGGAGGATGGACGAGAACACCACTTGCACCTCAAACTCCTTTATCCTTCTTCCCAGAGCCATGTAGTCTGCAGTGATTCCCTCAAGGTCATTCTTGGCAGTATCATTGGTGCCCACGTGGAGAAGCAGGAAGGGGTAGCGATCCGAGGGCTTGATGAGTCTCGGCAGTCTCTCCGTCACATCGTGAATCCTAGCTCCTGGCAAGCAGCAGACCTCTCAGTTTTCTCGGTCGGGGCGCCAGATAGATGACTCCGTCCCCCTGAGGAGGGAGTCCCCGACCACCACCACCCTCCTCCTCCTCTTGGGAGTGGTGGTTGTGGAATCCTCATCCCTAGGACAGTGCATCTTTTGCCTTCCAATCGGTGGAGTCTCCTTCTGCTCCCTTCCCTCAGATGGGTCATCTACTCCACTCTCCGCATTAGTACCTGTAGAGAGAACATGGAAAGGATTGCTCACCTGTATCTCCACTGCTGGTACATGGACGCTCCTCTTTCTCCTTCTGGAGGTCACATGCTGCCAAACTTCTTCATCATCCATCTGTCCCTGCTGCGCCTGCTCTGAGTCTTCAGAACATTGTGGCCGTAGAAGCATCTCCTGACTTCTGTCCAGGAAATCTTCATTTTCCCTTATGCAACGCAGAGTCGATACTCGTTTCTCCAGACCTCAAACCTTCTCTTCCAATATGGAGACCAGCTTGCACTTTGTACAGACAAAGTCGCTTCTGTCCTGTGGAAGAAAGACAAACATGGCACAACCTGTGCAGGTTACAACAGCTGATCTCTCACCTTCCATATCACCTTCCTCTTAAGAGCTTCCTCAGGTCCTCCTCCTCCTCTGTTACTTCCAATTGACGCGTCACCAGCTTATAACAATAATTCTTGTTATTAATCCCTAAATGTATTACCTTGCACTTTTCACTATTAAATTTCATCCTATTACTATTACTCTAGTTAACAAGGTCATCCAGATCTTCCTGTATGATATCCCAGTCCTTCTCTGTATTGGCAATACCTCCCAGCTTTGTGTCATGCATAAACTTTATTAGCACATTCCCACTTTTTGTGCCAAGGTCAGTAATAAGAAAGATTAAATAAGATTGGTCCCAAAACTGATCCCTGGGGAACTCTACTAGTAACCTCCCTCCAGCCTGACAGTTCACCTTTCAGTACGACCTGTTGTAGTCTCCCCTTTAACCAGTTCCTTATCCACCTTTCAATTTTCATATTGATCCCCATCTTTTCCAATTTAGCTAATAATTCCCCATGTGTAACCATATCGAATGCCTTACTGAAATCAAGGTAAATTAGATCCACTGCATTTCCTTTGTCTAAAAAATCTGTTACCTTCTCAAAGAAGGAGATCAGGTCGGTTTGGCACGATATACCTTTTGTAAAACCATGTTGTATTTTGTCCCAATTACCGTTGACCTCAATGTCCTTAACTACTTTCTCCTTCAAAATTTTTTCCAAGACCTTGCATTCTTCAGATGTCAAACTAGCAGGCCTGTAGTTGCCCGGATCACTTTTTTTCCCTTTCTTAAAGATAGGAACTATGTTAGCAATTCTCCAGTCGTACGGTACAACCCCTGAGTTTACAGATTCATTAAAAATTCTTGCTAATGGGCTTGCAATTTCATGTGCCAGTTCTTTTAATATTCTTGGATGAAGATTATCTGGGCCCCCCAATTTAGTCCCATTAAGCTGTTCGAGTTTGGCTTCTACCTCGGATGTGGTAATATCTACCTTCATATTCTCATTCCCATTTGTCATCCTACCATTATACCTAAGCTCCTCATTAGCCTCATTAAAGACTGAGGCAAAGTATTTGTTTAGATATTGGGCCATGCCTAGGTTATCCTTAACCTGCACTCCATCCTCAGTGTTTAGCGGTCCCACTTCTTCTTTCTTCGTTTTCTTCTTATTTATATGGCTATAGAACCTTTTACTGTTGGTTTTAATTCCCTTTGCAAGGTCCAACTCTACATGGCTTTTGGCCTTTCTCACTTTATCCCTACATGTTCTGACCTCAAGAAGGCAGCTTTCCTTGCTGATCACTCCCATCTTTCACTCCTTGTAGGCTTTCTGATTTTTCTTAATCACCTCTCTGAGATGCTTTCTCATCCAGCTTGGTCTACAATTCCTGCCTATGAATTTTTCCCCCTTTCTTGGGATGCAGGCTTCTGATAGTTTCTGCAACTTTGTATCCCTTATAAGCAGTCATTCCTGATGAATATATGTTTTTCTATGACTGCCATCACATTAATAGCTTCAAGAGATATAGCCTCAAAATCTACATGTGAGATCGAGAAATAGTAAAATGTCTCTTTCACAGATAGGGAAATGGAGGCAGAGAGAGATTAACTGGCTTGCCAAATTCACACTAGTAGTCTGTGACAGATCTGGGAACTGAAGCCAGATCTGTGTCTAAGACTAGATTCTTATCCACAACATCATCCTTACGTTTTCAGTCTCAGCGCCAGGTCAGCTGCAGACGAACCTGTACCCAGTGTGTTTTCCGCGTCTCTTCTGAGTTTCCTAAACCTCTCAATTTCCCCACTAGGCTGGCTGCTGATAAATCCTCCGCAGTTGGAGCTACCTTCAGAGAAGTGAAGTTGAGATTCCCCTTCGCAGCAGAATCCTTGATCGTCAAATTTTGATGGCTGGAGGAGACGTCACGTAGACGTGTTTTCCTCTCTTCGGCTATTTTAGCACCTAGGTAAAAAGGCTCGACTGTTCAATTCTTTTCTGAGAAATTTAGGAGCCCAACTCCCATTGGTCCCGAACCATAACAATAAACCTACCTCCATATGCTTTCCCTAACCCTCAGCCCTCACCCCAAACCACACTCCAACCCTAACCTTAGCCGTGAACTCGAGTTTTACTCAATTAGGAGCGTAAATGGCTTACGCGTTTTTTGAAATTCCGCGTTTTAGACCGGAATGCATTTAGAACCGGTTCAGTGTGTCAAGTGCAGTTGAAATGAGTTCTGGGATTTGACTGTTTTTTGGCAGGTGCTGGGTTGGCTGACTCAGTCCGGTCCGAGGATCTCGGGTGCCTGGAGAAGAAGGAGACACTGTGTCACTCGTATGCTCGTGCAATACCAGCAATACTGACTTCTGTCTTTACTTGCACCGTCGGTATCCGAACCACACCCGGCAGTGGGATGCTCCGGAGAGGTGCGAAGTGGTGTGGGATAAATCTGCCATCCATGGGGACAGCTGGGATTTAAAATTGAGGTCAATTAATTTAGGAATATAAATATTCAATGTGAAAATGTTAACAATTATGGCTAATAACGGTATATGAATATATGACCCCCTCTAGCAATCATATCTTAGCTCCATCATTAACAACAGGCGAGGTAGAGCTGCAATATAATTATCTCCTATTTACAGATGGGGAGAGAAGCACAAACATATTGGCTGACTTGCCCGAGGTCACCCGGGGCGGAGCTGGGACTTGGACCATGGAATCCTGAGCCTATATTAACCCCATCGCTCCCACGAGCCTCACGGGTCCAGCTGCAGCCCAGCACCTGAACCGCAGCGTGTGACTCGGATCAGGAACCAGTTGCTCAAACTCCTCCCTCTCCGCTGGTTTGTGACGGTCCTTCAGCGAAGTGAAATTTAGATTCCTCTTCGCAGCAGCACCACAGCGGAGAGTGTCAGGCCGGGTCGATCTAGGACAAGCCATGGAGACGTGTTTTCTTCTTACCCTTTGGGTATTGACTCGTCTAGGTAACTGAGCCGGGATTTTCCAAGAAGTTTGAGAGAATTTAAGGCTCCTAAACTCCATTGACCATTAACCCCAACGCTAACCCCAAACCCGAATGGTAGCCCTAAGCCAAACCCTGACATTGATCCTACGTATAACCCTCACCCTGATTCGATTCCTGTTCGATTCCACGACCAGCTGAGAGGATGTCCTGCAATGTGACGGTCTTGTTGTAGGTGGTGCGCTGGGTGACTCGGTCCAGCCCGAAGAACTCCAAGTGTCTGGAATAGAAGGAGATGCTGTGGCCCTCCGCTGTTCTTACGATACCAGCTATACCGGTTCAGTCTATCTGAATTGGTACCGTCAACATCCGAATCAAGCCCTACAGTACATTCTCAAGAGAGGAGTGAAGCGAGCTCAGGGTTACACCCATACTGCAGATTTAGCCGGAAAGAGGTTTTCTTCCCAGGCTGATGACAGCTCCACAGTTCTGAACATCACAGCCCTGGAGCTGGCAGACACCGCGGTGTATTACTGCGCCCTGCAGAGAGCACTGTGAGAAAGCCACATAGCGGAGCTGTACAAAAACCCTCCCTTCCCTACAGTGCTGGGGGTTGCAGGCATTAAAGCTGCTCGGCAGCCCTCCTGGAGAGAGTGATCGCTCAGCTAAAAACACCGGTTTTGTCGGGATTAAGTTGTCTAAGCAACTCCATTAAAATGGCACCCCTGGAGAACCATAGAATCCTAGGACTGGGAGAGACCTGGAGGGGTCTTCTAGTCCAGTCCCCCGCACTCATGGGTAAATCTCCTACAATCTTCTGAGGGTTTCAGTTGCGGATTAACCTGAACCCAGCGTGTTTCCCGTGTCTGGTTTGAGCTCCCCCAAACTCCTCCCTCTTCCACTCGGCTGGTTTCTGTTGAAGCGTCCCTAGCTGGAGCTGCCTTCGGACACATGAAGATTAGATTCCTCCTGGTAGCCACGTCTTAGAACATAAAGCCTAGGCCGCTAAGGGAGAAATCATGGGGAAGTGTTTTATTCTGAGCATTTGGATATTGAATCTCCCAGGTAAATAGACTGGGATTTTCAAAGGACTTTGGGCTCCCATCTCCCATGGAATCCTTGTCTTAAACCTGCTCCAAGCCTTTCCCCTCATCCTCGCTGTAACAGAGCCGCATAGCAAAGCGATGCAAAATCCCCCCCTTCCTTGTTGCAGTTGAGGTGAGGCACATGGAGGCTGGAAGATCTGCTAGCCAATTGAAAACACAGATTTTGGGGTGACTGTGCTGATTTCCGTTTTCTTCTTCCACAGCCCCTGGGAGATTAACCTTTTATTGAAACGTCTGCACTAAAAGATGACTCCTGGAGACTATCCAGGGAGTGAATTTAAATCGTGAAATCGCTGTAACGCCTTTTCTCCCGTCCCAAGTGGACAGAGGAGGTTTCCCCTATGTTAACAAAAGGATAAGAATTGGTGGTAACAAGTGAGTCTAAAATGATGAGTGAATAAAAGTTGTTAAAAGGAGCCGTTGGCGATGTGTGGTGTGGGATCAATCTGCCATGAATGGGGAGAGCTGGGACTTGAAAAGGAGGCCGATTGACTTAGGGATTTCAAAAATTCTATTTGAAATATTTAGCCATCATGGCTAGTAAATATGTGAATATATCCCTCCCCCCAGCAATTATATCTCTGCTCCACTAGATGCTTATCATGAAAACAAAACAAAACAAATAAACAGGCGAGGTGGAGCTGCCATATTATTATCTCCTATTTTCAGAAGGGGAGAGTAGAGCAAACATATCGGATGACTTGCTCTAGGTCACCCGGGGCGGAGCTGCGACTTGGACCGTGACATCCGGAGCCTACAGCCAGTTGCATTAATCGTAACCCAGCCTTCTTCATTAACCCCATCGCTCCCACAAGCCTCACGGCTCCAGTTGCAGCCCAACCCCTGAACCCCAGCGTGTGACCTGAGTCAGGAACCAGTTGCTCAAACTCCTCCCGCTCCGCTGTAGATTTCGCCCAGAAGAGATTTTCTTCCCAGGCTGATGACAGCTCCACAGTTCTGAACATCACAGCCCTGGAGCTGGCAGACACTGCGGTGTATTACTGTGTCCTGGCAAGGACACAGTGACAGCCACATAGCGGAGCTGTACAAAAATCCTCCCTTCCCTACAGCACTGCAGGTTGCAGACATTAAAGAAGCCCAGCAGCTCTCCTGAGGAACATGATCACTCATTTAAGAACACAGATATTAGCTTCATTAGGTTGTTTAAGCAACTCCATTAAAATGACACCACTGGAGAATCAGAATTGTAGGCCTGGAATTAACTTCTAGTCCAGTCCCCTGCACTCCGGGCAGGACGAAGTATTATCTAGACCATCCCTGACAGGTGTTTGTCTAACCTGCCTTAAAAATCTCCAATGAGGGAGATTCATCAACCTCCCTAGGCAATTTATTCCGGTGCCTAACCACCCTGAGAGGGAGTTTTTTCTTAATGTTCAACCTAAACTGAAATCTTGCTGCAATTTAATCTCCTTGCTTCTTGTCCTAACGTCAGAGGTTAATGGGAACAATTTTTCACCTTCCTCCTTATAACTACCTTTCTGGTACATGAAAACTGTTATCATTTCCCCTCTCAGTCTTCTGTTCTCCAGACTAAAGAAACCCATTTTTTCAATCTTGAATCATGAGTCATGTTTTCTAGACCTTGGTAAATTGTGCCAACGATTAATTACTCTCACTGACCAAAAAATTACACCTTATTTCTGGTCCGAATTTGTGTAACTTCCACTTACAACCATTGGCTCCTGTTATATCTTTTTTGCTAGGTTGTGGGGCCCATTACTAAATACTTGTTTGTAATAGACTACAACCAAGTCACCCCTTCACCATCTCTTTGTAAATACAGTAGCTTGAACTTCTTGAGTCTCTCACTATAAACATGTTTTCTAAACTTGTAATCATTCTCACAGCTCTTCTCTGAACAGTCGCCCATTTATCAACCTCCTTCTTGAATTCTGGACACCTGAACTGGACAAAGTGTTCCGGCAGCGGCCCCAACACTGCCAAATACAGAATTAAAATAACTTCTCTCTGCTCCTACTTGGCGCTGTCTCTCTCTTCTGGTACCTCCGTAGAGTAACCGTGGCCTGCAGTGCATTCTCCAGAGCCGAGCTGAAAGAGCCAGTGATGCTGCAGGTTTCGCCCAGCAGAGGTTTTCGTCCGAGGCTGATGACAGCTCCGAGGTGCTGAGGATCACAGCCCTGAGGGTGGCACTGGCAGACACAGCGGTGTATTACTGCGTTCCGCAGCGCTCAGAGTGACAGAGCCACATAGCAAAGCTCGGCAAAAAACCTTCCCTTTCTTGATACCGCGGAAATTAGGCACACGGAGACTGGAAACAGCTGCCTTAGGAGAATTGTTACACTGCCAATAAATGCATATTTTGGGGTGATTGTACTGCTGTCAAGCTACTGCTTCCTATGCCCCCCCCACAAAAAAATAAATGTTTATTCAAATCTTTATAGTAATTTATCAACCTTGGATCATAGAATGGGCGTGAGGTTATTCTGTTAACATTTTGGGATTTTTTTCTCTTCATAGACTACAGTATTTTGCAAATAACGTGTAGTAGAAATACCGATTTTTAAAAATGTGAGTTAAAATAGTGTAGTTAAATGATTTAAATGAAGCTAACCTATTTATGAATGTGCGTGGGAGATTTAAATGACTAGTTGCAAGTCTGGGACAGTCACTATAAAGAATCTTCTGTTTTGGTGTGATTCGTTAGAAATCTCGTATTGCTTTGTATGACATTTTAATAACTCATGTGACTAAAGTAACGCTGTCCAGGTAGATTTGGGAAAAATAACAAGGTAGCACAACTTGCTGGTAAAAAGTATAATACACATGTCATTTGCATCTTTCCAGGTTCTATTTATTTTAGATTTTAACCGTGGAGGGAAAAGAGTCTTTTAAAACATATTGCAAGGATGTTGTCTGGGAATTTTTAAGGAGCATCTGTGAATGAGACATCCATATTTCATTAAAATCATCCTTTGAAAATCCCAAACTTCATTCCTGGTAAAGCTATCTGAGTATCTATCTACTTATATCACCCCATCACAAACACATCTGAGTGCTTCCAAATATGTATCCTCACAGTCCAGGTGTGGGAGAGAAATATTAGATCTCTGTTTTACATATAGGGAAACCTAGGCAGAGAGAGATTAACTGCCTTGACCAAGCTCTCAAAGGGCATCTGTGGTACAGCTGGCAACCGAATCCAGCTCTCCTGAGTCTCAGATAAGTGCCTCGCCCACAACTCCGTCCTTTCCCCTACAATCTCATCAGGATGTCAGCTGCAGACTCACACGAACCCAGCGTGTTTCCCGTGCCTTTTATGAGCTCAGGCTCCTCCCTCTTCCACTCGGCTGGTTTTTGTTGTAGAGTCCCTAGCTAGAGCTGCCTTCGGATACACGAAAATTAGATTCCTCTTCGCAGACACGTTTTAGAGAACATAAAAAAAACCTAGGTCGTTATGGGAGAAATCATGGGGAAGTGTTTTATTCTTAGCATTTGGATATTGACTCTTCTAGGTAAATAGACTGGGATTTTCAAGGGCTTCCATCTCCCATGGAATCCTGGTCTTAAACCTGCTTCAAACCATTTCCCTCGACCTCCCTGTAACCTTAACCCGAAATCTAACGCTAACCCCGAACCCTAAATCTAACGCTACATTCCAACCTCAACTCTAGCCCTCACCCTAAATCCAAAACCTAGGGCTTTATCCGAATCCGAACACTAGCCCTAACCCTAAGCCCTAGATCTAACGGTATACCTTAACCCGCACCTTGGTTTCTTTCGATGTAAGCACCCAAATATCTTAGGTTGCTTTAAGGTTCCCAGCCGAACACTGCAATGGCCCTAGAACCGCTTCCGTGGGTCAGGTGCTGTTGAGATGATGTCCTTTAATTAGCTTGTCTTGTTGCAGGTGCTGCGCTGGGTGACTCGGTCCTGTCCAGGGAACCCGAAAAGTCTCGGTCAGAAGGAGACACTGTGGCACTCAGCTGTTCTTACACCACCAGCGATAGCTATGTCTTTCTCTACTGGTACCGTCAGTATCCGAACCAAGCCCCGCAGTACATTCTCTATAGAGGAGCGAAGTCCTACAGCCACCTAAGTGACACTGCAAGTTTCGCCCAGGAGAGGTTTTCTTCCCAGGCGGATGGCGGCTCCACCGTTTTAACCATCGCCGCCCTGGAGCTGGCAGACACAGCGGTGTATCTCTGCGCCCTGCGTCTGGCACCGTGACAGAGCCACATAACAGAGCTGTACAAAAACCCTCTTTCCTTGCTGCAGGCCTGCAGCTGAGGTTAACGCACATTAAGCTGCGCCCTTGGGAAGCCGGGTAGAGTCTGTTTTTTTATGCTGTAATAAGTAGGTGCCTTTGTGGGCGTGGGAGGTGCTGCTCAATGCTCTCTCGAATCCCCGCCCCCTAAATTCGTTCTGCATCCAGACGCAAGATAAAAAGTGTTCTACAAAGGTGGTCAATCC